TATGGGATTTGAATCTTAATGTGGCCCTAATCTTCGTGAAATGTTTCCCTCTTGTTTCTTCGTTTTCGGTGTATCTGGTGTAATTGTACTGGCTAGGCTTTTCTCTGTTGTGCCCAGAGGAAGTAAGGTTGATTTCAAAGTGGGAAGTTATTTTTTTTCCAAATAATATTCTACCGAGCCTTCTTATACCAATTTCACGCTGCAAATCGAATTCGTTCGTTAGTCGGGGCCTGCCAGGTTTTCTTCATTGGAGGGGACGAAAGCTACCATAGTGCCACAATTCGAACGAATTCTACCGATTTCGACCGCGACCTTCAAAAAAAAAACAACAACAACAAAAAAACAACAAAAAACAACCCACGTTTGTTTAACAAAGGCCGCGAGTCGAACAATCGGATAGTCGAACACTGTGCGAGCGGAATGCGGTAACAGACAGTGTAGATTTGGAAAAGCCGAATCTGATAAATCTAGAAAGCTACCGACTTTTGCCATGTCTGTAGGAATATGTCTAGAACCTATGCAGCGTCCTGTTTTTGAGTATCGGTTATCGTGATTTGCTCAAGGACACAGCCCGATGACCACCCACTTATGTGCTGGATATTATTTATTTAGTGGGTGCTCTGTTTGTGAGTTAAGGTTATCGTTATTTGCTCAAGGACACATAGCCTGATGACCACCCACCTATTTATGCGGGTTAATTTATACTATGGCTGCTCTGCTTTTGAGTTAGGGTTTTCGTGACTTGCTGAAGGACACACCCCGGTGACTATAAATAGAAGGTCCTTGCTACCCACCTATATGCTGGATAATTTTGGTTAATAGCAGAATAGCGTGCAGACTGATTGTGTGTATATCAGGCTTACCCCCCCGCCCCCCCACCTCCCACCCGTCCTCCCCTCTCCCAACTATCTCAGTTTTATGTCGAGTCGTGATGATGATGTCAGTTATGATTTAATGAAACTGTTTTTCTTGGGGTCGACGTTGAATTTTGTTCTTTTCCGTATTTTTCTCTCTCCTTTGCGCGAAGTTCCACTTTTATGTTCCTGTCTGTCTGTCTGTCTGTCTGTCTGTCTGTCTGTCTGTCTGTCTGTCTGTCTGTCTGTCTGTGTGTGTGTGTGTGTGTGTGTC